ATAGAGGCCTGGGTCAAGGAATGTGGTCCAGAGACTTGCTCCCAGGCAGTAGCCTTGGCGGAGGACTTCCTCCAGAAGCAGCGAGCGGCCAAGAGTCAGGCAAACAAGGTGAGGATCAATCATTGGGTTCAAGGCTGCTTTTTGCAAGGTGCCAACAAATCATATTCAATTATCAAGCCAGGGTAGCAGTGTGATTGAAGTGGAGTAAGCAAAATGTAGCCTGTATGAGGCTATATTTGAGCCTTCTTATATATCCAAGCACCTCCTCTGCCCCAATAGTTAACTCTCGGTTTACTTTGTGGTTTTAAAAGGGCCTGTTTTGTGCCTGAAACAGCCATGGAAGGAGAGAAACACATTTCCCATAAGGAGATGAGGGATATTGAGTTTTTAATTTAAGAAAAAGTTGAAATACAGCGGGGGTGAGCAGTGCCCTGCAAAGACCAACTGCAGCCCCCATCAAATACACAGGCAGTAGTTTTAATGTGGGATTGTGCCTTGCAAGATCGGGATTCAACTCCTTTTTGTTCCATGAAATGCATTGTATGACCATGGGCTAGTTATTTTCTCTGGTCATTACCTATCTCACAAATACTTTGAGGACCATGTAGAGCAGAGCAAAGCCATATACGTGAGATATATGTTTGGTTAACAAGTGATACATATTTTAGGTGCCGTTAGAGGAAGAGGAGAGAGTGGGTTCCCCTGAAGCTGTCCACGCCCTGCCTGAGATGGAGCAGAAGAAGCTTCGTGTGGAGACGAAACAGGAAGATGACGATGGGGATGCTGGATCCATGGGTAAGAAGAGTGGCTTGTTTGTGTCCTTGGATGTTGGGGGTGTTCTTCCTAGATTAAGAACAGCATTTTGGCTGCTTCTCCCCTGAATAGGGCCTTCCCATCGTCCTTTGAGTAGTCTTAAACACAAGGGGATTGAAAGTTGTAGTAACTGGAAGGCCACAGTTTCCCATTTCCTGCATGGGCCTAGAGACATAATTTTTCCTTAAATGTAAGTAAGTGAAATAATAGATATAGATTCTGCTGTTCTGGATGCCGTAAAATACTTGTAATATATTGGGGGTCATGGGGGAGACTCCACATTTCCTGAGAGGATGTGTGAGCATAGTTGCCCTCTTAGTTTGTGGCAAAGTCTTGTACACTTAAATCTAAAGCTCAGATTGAACCTACTTGAAGAGTATCTCTTTTCGTTACTAAGTAAATTTTCCCAGTTCTCATTTATATATATATGAGAAGGATCGGTCCCCGTAATACTGGGATGGAAAACAAATATCCATGTGGGGATTTGTAAAAAGGCACCATGATGTGATGGGTTGACTGGAAAGGGGTGTGTCGGCAGCTGAGTGGCTGGGCATGTCAGGGGCCAGAGTTCTGATTGACTGCTGCCTCTGGCGTGCTGCTGAGACAAACAGTTTTAACTGCCACTTTCATCTTGGAGAGTGAAGAGAACGCTGACTGGAAACAGCCAGGATGGAAATGGCTGCCAACACTCTGAAGCCTGATCATTTCTAAGGCATGGACTATGCCTTGGTCTCAAGGAATGCCATTCACCATGTTCAGCATTTTAGTGTTTGCACTAGAACAGATAGTGCATAAAGTTCACCTGACCCAGCCCTGTGTGCCAAGAGTAGTCACAGGGAGAGCACTCAAGTTAAGAATCAAATGGTGAGAAGACCCATGTAGCCGACTGACAGCTTGACTAAAGCCAGAACCAACAAACAGATTAAGATCAGTAATCCTATTGGGCCATCCAGCAGCATCCACCTTAGCAGTATACGAACATCTAATCCATAGATGCAGGCGAAATTTCAGGAGAGAATGCTTCTAGAACATGGCGATATAGCCCAAAAAACCTACAACAACCCCCTAATCCATCTTCTTCAGGAAGACCTAACTTATGCCCCCAAGCCAAGCTACTCTCAGGCTAAAGAGTTGTATTTAATTGTCTGTTGTCTAAAGGCATCAAACAGTTATTGTGTAAAGCAGGAGTCCTCAAACTTTTTAAACAGAGGGCCAGGTCACAATCCTCCAAACTGTTGGAGGGCTGGATTATAATTTGAAAAAGTATGAATGAATTCCTATGCACACTACACATATCTTATTTGTATTGCAAAAAACACTTTAAAACAATACAATAATTAAAGTGAAGAACAATTTTAACAAATATAAACTTAAAAGTAATTCAATGGGAAGTGTGAGCCTGCTTTTGGCTGATGAGATAGGATTGTTGTTGTTGTTGTGTGCTTTCAAGTCTTTTCAGACTTAGGTTGACCCTGAGAGAGGACTGGGTAAATGACCTTGGAGGGCCGTATCCGGCCCTCGGGCCTTAGTTTGAGGACCCCTGGTCTAAAGCATCAAACCTCACAATCTCTGAGGATTCTTGCCACAGATACAGGCGAAACGTCAGGAGAGAATGCTTCCAGAATCTACAACCCATCAAACAGTTGCCATATGTAAAGCTGCCTTGAGTCCCCTTCGGGGTTGAGAAAGGTGGGATATAAATAAAATAAATAAATAAATACACCAGGTTAATGGGCCCACTGAAGAAAAGAGCCTTAAGAGATACTTACATTGGCTACGGGAATTCTGGAACAAGTTATCCACCCATTGCCCTATTTTAATTAAAATGGGAATACAAGCTCCTTGTAGATCAAAAGAAAGGGCAACATGAACACAACACCAGGGCTCTACCGCTGAATGCTTCTTTCAACAACACTAAAACCTTTTGGCAGCTTGTATCAGGAGCCCTACTTTCTCACTCCAAGTTGTGTAATCCCAGCACAGCTATATGAAGGTCATAGAATCATAGAGTTGGAAGAGACGTCGTGGGCCACCTATCCAACCATCTGCCAAGAAGCAGGACAATCGTGTTTTAGATCATTTTAGATCTATCTTCACCTTAAACTAGATTCTGAAAAACACCAGGATGCCAATTTTCTGGACTTGCCTTATTGGGACCCAATGTCTTTTGACATTATTCTGGACTTAATCCACCAGTTGAAGAATGGTAAAACCCCAGGTATTGATCATGTCCCCATTGAACTCATTAAAATTAATAAAGATTGGTGGGGCACCTTTACGAGCCATCCTATTCACAAAGATCAGTAACACAGGCAAAATTCCTGTTAGCTGGAAGCAAGCCATTGTGGTTCCAGTTTATAAGAAAGGGTCACCCAGTGATGCAGGGAACTACAGACCAATCAGCCTACTTTCAATAATGCGAAAACTCATATCTGTGTATGGGACTTTCTTCCCTCTTGGAATCAAACAGCACAATCTCCGAGGCACAAGCAGCATTTAGAAATAACTATTCAACTATTGATCATTGCTTAGTGCTCTCTCTTCTTGCTGAGAAACTTGTCCAAATGCTACAGGGTAAGCTGTTTGTGGCCTTCATGGACTTCAAATCAACATTTGATTCAATCTCTAGACATAAACAATGGGGGAAATGGACAAGATAAAATCCTTCTATGCCTTATTAAGGCCCTGTATAGTGGACAGTAAGCTATAGATCATTTATTTTCCCCAAGTGCCTTGAGTATACATTATACTGGGCCTCTCCATGAAGCAAATTATCTTGAGAACTCAACTGTGGCGAAATATCGCTGCCTATTCTCCAAGGCTAGGTGCAATGTGTTCCCATCCAAAGTGTTTTGAGGTAGATTTCGGGTGTCCCATACAAGGCAAGACCTTGCCCATGTAGTAACCAAGATGTTGAACGTATATATCAGAACTTACTGTTCTGCACTTTTTACAAGTAGGCTCAGCTACGTATTATTAATCCACTATTGAGCAATCTACCCAGTAGATCAGCTCAATTCTCCGTCCTTCTCACCCCGAAGGGGACTCAGAGCATCTCACAAAAAAGGCACAATTTGATGCCACATATAAATATAAATACATAGAATAAAACAAAAAATATACAGTGGGTTGTTGTGAGTTTTCTGGGCTGTAGGGCCATGTTCCAGAAGCACACACCCCTGACATTTCACCCACATCTATGGCAGGCTTGGCTGATTGCTGCCTGGGGGATCCTTTGTTGGGAGGTGTTAACCTGCCCTGATTTATTCTTGTCTGGTATTCCTCTGTTTTTTGAGTGTTCCTCTTTACTTACTTACTGGTAGCCAGATTGTGTTCGTTTTCATGGTTTCTTCCTTTCTGTTGAAATTGGCCACATGCTTGTGAATTTCAAAGGCTTCTCTGCATAATCTGACATGGTAGTTGTTAAGAGTGGTCCAGCATATACATTAAAACCAAAGATTTAAAAAATCTCAATCTTAAAACCAATTAATTAAAACCACACAATCCAAAGGCATTATCCAGGAGCCATTCCAGTAGTCAGGTAGCCAGGATAAGACTACTTCCTGTATTAGAGTCAGGTTGAAACTTGCCTTGTATATATTTGCAGTATTTTTACCCTTGTTCATATGCATTTAGGACTGAATCATAGAATCACAGAAAAATAAAGTTGGAAGAGACCACATGGGCCATCTAGTCCATTTCCCTGCCATGCAAGAAAAGCACATTCAATGTACTTGTTGTGCCTTTAAGCGGTCTTATCAGTTTATGAATCTGTTGTGCACTTTTTTTGGTGAGCAAACTGGGTTTTAGACCATAATAAAGATTAATTGATTAATTGATTAAATAACTTGTTGTGCCTGATGGAGTATAATAAATAAATGTGAAGCTTATTGAACAATAGAAATGAATATTTTGAAAGAAACAGAAGGAAATGAAAAACTTAGAAAAACAGTATAGGGTTCAATTTCTCTTTCGGTTCTTATTCAAGATTCAGAAACTTTCACAGACTATTCAATTTCTATTGGTCAGTAAAAAAAAAAAATTGGACAATCCTAACTTTGCCAGAGAAGAATGTCCAAAGTCTTGGGAGCAACCACCATGTCTTGATCCCCTGATCTTTCCTGGGAAGCTTCCTGGTGACATTGTGAGAATGGGCCTTAATTTGCCTTATGCTTTATTTCCAACAGGTGATGAATGGAAAAGTGAGAATGAGGGACAATTGGGTGAGGATTCCTCAGAAAGGAAAGAGTGTGAAGCACTGAAGGAGAATGTTTGGAGCCAAGTTGGGCCAGAGAGCCAAGATGAAAGCCACACGGAAGAGCTGGAAGCCAAACCCTTCCCATTTCTGGTGGGGGACCTTCACAGAATCTCAGTCCAGCAGGAAAGCGAGAAAGAAAAACATGGAATTGCTTTCCCCAGTGTTCTTAGTAGAATTCGCATTGCGGATGAATCAGATTCAATGTTTACAAAGAGCTTCAGTCAGAGTGGAGACCTGACTGAATGTGAAACGCTTTATGAAGGGACGAGTTCTAACACAGACCTGAATCAGAGTATTTGTGCAGATGAGAGACAGTCTATGAATTCAGATCTTGGTAAGATGAAACATCCAAGGATCCAAAAGGGTGAGAAGCTGTATAAATGTTTGGAGTGTGGGAAATGCTTTGATCAGAGTGCTAATCTTAGGAAACACCAGATAATTCATACTGCCGAGAAGCCGTATCCGTGCTTGGAGTGTGGGAAATGCTTTGGTAGGAGCGACAGTCTTAAGCAGCACCAGAGAATCCACACTGAGCTGAAACCATATCAGTGCTTGGAGTGTGGGAAATGCTTTGGTTGTAAGACCTACCTCTTAAGACACCAGATAATCCATACCAGGGAGAAGTCGTATCCGTGCTTGGCGTGTGGGAAATGCTTTGGTCAGAGAGACCATCTCAAGCAACACCAGGTAATCCACACTGGGGAGAAGCCATATCAGTGCTTGGAGTGTGGGAAATGCTTTGGCCGGAGTGACAGTCTCAAGAAACATCAGATAATCCACACTGGGGAGAAGCCGTATCAGTGCTTGGAGTGTGGGAAATGCTTTGGTCAGAGTGCTAACCTCAAGAAACACCGGAGAATCCACACCGGGGAGAAGCCATATCAGTGCTTGGAGTGTGGGAAGTGCTTTGGTCGGAGAGCCCATCTCAAATCACATCAGAAAATTCACACTGGGGAGAAGCCCTATGAATGTATGGAGTGTGGAAAGAGTTTCAGCGACCGGTCTACCTTTGTCAGACATAAGAGCATCCACACCAGAGAGAAAGTCTTCAGCCAAAGTACCAGCCTGGCTTTACATCAGAGAATCCATGGCAAGAGAAGATGTCACACAAAAATCAGTGTTTGTTGAATATCAGAATGGCTGTGTAAGTCTTTTCACCAAATGCAATGAGCAGTCTAGTTGCATCTTTAAAAGGAATACGCTATACCAGGCATCCTCAAACTTTTTATGCAGAGGGCCAGTTCACCGTCCCTCAGACTGTTGGAAGGCCGCACTATAGGTTGAAAAAATTGTGAACAAATTCCTATGCACACAGCACAGAACTTATTTATTGTCATTATACATTGTATGAGGGTTGAATGAAAAATAATACCTCCACCTTCGTAATTCCTCAACAGATGGCAGTATTGGTATGCGGCAGGTACTGGTTTAATCAGTAGACTCTCCTCTACAGTTCCATTTTGGCGGGAAGCCTTAGCATTGAACGGTTGTGTTGTTAAAGTGCAAAGTATGGAACCCTGCACAGACCGTCCATCAATGTGACAGATTGATTCAGGACGATCGTCACATCACTCAGAGAGAAATTTCAAGCATAATCAACATTTCACAAGAATGTGTGGGTGACATTATTGCTTTGCTTGGCTATCGGAAGATCTGTGCATGATGGGTTCCCAGGATGCTGATGCCTAAAATGAAAGCGCACAGACTTCTTCCATGACGGATTCAGATAACATGTTCATCATTGGCAAAAATGTATCCAATTGTCTGGTGATTGTGTGGAAAAGTGAATAGTGGTAGTTAAAGAGTGGTAGTCAACATGGATTTATCAAAAACAAGTCATGCCAGACTAATCTGATCTCTTTTTTCGATAGAGTTACAAGCTGGGTAGATGTGGGGAATGCTGTGGATGTAGCGTACCTGGATTTCAGTAAGGCCTTCGACAAGGTCCCCCATGACCTTCTGGCAAACAAACTAGTCCAATGTGGGCTAGGCAATGGATCTGTAATTGGTTAAATGGACAAACCCAGAGGGTGCTCACCAATGCTTCCTCTTCATCCTGGAAAGAAGTGACGAGCGGAGTGCCGCAGGGTTCCATCCTGGGCTCGGTCCTGTTCAACATCTTTATTAATGACTTAGATGAAGGGCTAGAAGGCAGGATCATCAAGTTTGCAGACGACACCAAATTGGGAGGGATAGCCAATACTCCAGAGAACAGGAGCAGGATTCAAAACGATACTGAGAGATTAGAGAGATGGGCCAAAACTAACAAAATGAAGTTCAACGGGGACAAATGCAAGATACTCCACTTAGGCAGAAAAAACGAAATGCAAAGATACAGAATGGGGGACGCCTGGCTCGAGAGCAGTACGTGTGAAAAAGATCTTGGAGTCCTCGTGGACAACAAGTTAAACATGAGCCACCAATGTGATGTGGCAGCAAAAAAAGCCAATGGGATTTTGGCCTGCATCAATAGGAGCATAGTGTCTAGATCCAGGAAGTAATGCTACCCCTCTATTCTGCTTTGGTTAGACCACACCTGGAATATTGTGTCCAATTCTGGGCACCACAGTTCAAGAGAGATATTGACAAGCTGGAATGTGTCCAGAGGTGGGCGACTAAAATGATCAAGGGTCGAGAACAAGCCCTATGAGGAGTGGCTTAAAGAGCTGGGCATGTTTAGCTTAAAGAAGAGAAGGCTGAGAGGAGATATGATAGCCATGTATAAATATGTGAGAGGAAGCTACAGGGAGGAGGGAGCAAGCTTGTTTTCTGCACAGGGAACAATGGCTTCAAACTACAAGAAAGGAGATTCCATCTGAACATGAGGAAGAACTCCCTGACTGTGAGAGCCGTTCAGCAGTGGAACTCTCTGCCCCAGAGTGTGGTGGAGGCTCCTTCTTTGGAAGCTTTTAAACAGAGGCTGGATGGCCATCTGTCAGGGGTGATTTCAATGCAATATTCCTGCTTCTTGGCACAATGGGGTTGGACTGGATGGCCCATGAGGTCTCTTCCAACTCTATGATTCTATGATTCTAAGAGCACATTCTAAGGATTATTTTTGTGTTTGGTTTATTAAAATATTCCCATCCAAACCCAAGTAACGAAGGTGGAGGCATTACTTTTTATTCAAACGTCGTACAGCACACATCACAAAAACAAGACAACCATCCCTCCACACTCCAACCACAACTGTACAGCCCCCAGTGCCATATCAATGCAAAAGCATGGAGTTGAATATTGTTACATGTCTAGGACAAAAGCTGTCTCTCAGTCTGTTTGTCCTTATTTTTGTCATCTTGTACCATCTTCTGGCCCATCAACAAACACCTTGTGGTTGGAAAACTAGGATTCCAACCAGAGAAACCCACTGGGTGACCTTGGGCAAGCCCCACTCTCTCAGCCTCAGTGAAAGGTTATGGCCAAGTAGATTTCTTGAATGAAACCTTTGCAAGAAAACACTATGAGAAGCTGGCATTAACATTAGGAAGAATTTCCTGACAGAGCTGCTCAGCAGTGAAATATGCTGCTACCTCTGAGTGTGGTGGAGTCTCTTTTTCTGGAAGTTTTAAAACAGAGGCTTGATGGCCATCATCTGGAATGCTTTGTGTGCTCCTGCATGGAGGAAGTTAGACTGGGTGGCCTTTGGGGTCTCTTCCAACTCTGATTCAATGACTAGGATGCCTCTGCTGTTGGATCCTTCACCACTGCCAGCTTCTCATAGTGGTTTTCTTGAGAATAATAATAATAATAATAATAATAATAATAATAATAATAATAATAATAATCCTTTATTTGTACCTCGCTACCATCTCCCAAAGGACTCGGTGCGGCTTACAAGAGGCCGAGCCCAAATACAACAATAAAAACAACAGCAACAATAACAACACAATAACTCAAAAAAACAAAGCAATAACATTCATCTTCCTTCCAAGTAAATTTCTTGGAAGAACCCTTGCCAAGAAAACACCATGAGAGCTGATAGTGGTGAGGGATCCCTAGACATTGAATCCTAGAGTTGGAAGAGACCCCAAAGGGGTCTAATCAAGTCTAACCTCTTCTACCATGCAGGAGCAAACAATCAAAGCATTCCAGGCAGAAGGCCATCAAGCTTCTGTTGAAAACCTTCCAGAGAAGGAGACTCCACTGCACTCTAGTACCACAACTAGTACCACATACTATTGCTGAAAAGCTCTGCCTGTCAGGAAGTTCTTCCTGATGTTTAGGTGGGATCTTTTTTCCTGTCCTTTTATCCATTATTCTTGTGTCCTAGTCTCCAGAGCAGCAGAAAACAAGTTTGGCCCCTCCTCAATGTAACAGCATTTTGATATGTAAACATGCCTATCTTAACCTTTTCTCCAAGCGAAAAATAACAATGTCCTCATCTACTCCTCACAGGGAATCATAGTTTCCAAACCTTTGATCATTTGGATGGCTTTTCTTTGAACACACTCTAGTTTTCTCAATCTCCACCTTCAGCAAATGTTCTCTAGTGGAAATGCCTCCGCCTGATTGAGTTATAAAAAAATCTATCTGCTGAGTCCCAGGCATAACCAGGGGCTGAACAGGGATTCAGACCCCAGGCTCTTGTCACATTAATTTATTTATTTACTATATTTATACCCCGCCCTTCTCATCCCAAAGCAGACTCAGTGTGGCTTACAAATTGCAGCAAAAAAAAAATCAGTGCTGCATCATACACACAAAAATAAACATACCATATCAAATTATAAAACATATAAATACAATAAACAAGTGAAAAACATACGTAGTACCGAATCTTGATTTCCATACCTTATCGTTTTCCCACAGTCATTATTCAAACTCCTAGATTGAGGTCAAATTCCGTATTACCCTATTCCCCGAACGCCTGTGTACAAAGCAGGTCTTTAACTTTTTCCTGAAGACCAGGAGAGATGGTCAGTCTAATGATTGGGGAGGGAGTTCCACAGCCGAGGGGCCACCACAGAGAAGGCCCTGCCTCTCATCCCCACCGTTGTACTTGCAAAGGGGGTGGGATCGGGAGCAGGGCCTCCCCAGCAGATCTTAAAGCTCTAGTTGGCTCATAAAGGGAGATACGTTTGGACAGGTAAGTTGGACCAGAACTGTTTAGGGCTTTATAGGCCAAAGCCAGCACTGTGAATTGAGCTCAGTAGCAAACTGTCAGCCAGTGAAGCTAACAAAACTGGGGGTTTGTATTCTTCCTGTATGTTGCTCCAGTTAGAAATCTGGCTGCCACTTAGTGGACTACTTGGAGCTTCCGGACAGTCTTCAGAGGCAGCCCCATGTAGTACACCGGGATTGTGGCGCAGCTGGCTGAGTGTCAGCTGCATTAAGATCACTCTGACCAAAAGGTCATGAGTTCGAAGCCAGCCCGGGCTGGAGTGGGTGTCCAGCCATTGTGTAGCCCATTGTCGACCTTTGCAACCTGAAAGACAGTTGCATCTGTCAAGTAGGAAAATAAGGTACCACCTTGTGTGGGAGGCTAAATTTAACTAATTTATGAGGCCATAAAGAAAAAAGACTCCAGGGAATGTGGAATGCGGAAGAACTTCATCGGTGTCGCTGAGGATGATGAAAAGCAGCAGCTCCCGTGGCGGCCAGAAAAAAAAAAGTTAAATAGCCTCGGTGTATTTGTGTGTTAAACGTTGTTTGTCAAACTGGCATTGAATGTTTGCCATATATGTGTTGACTGTAATCCGCCCTGAGTCCCCCGCGGGGTGAGAAGGGCAGAATATAAGAACTGTAAATAAATAATAAATAAATAAACATGTTGTAGTAGTCTATTCAAGATATGACAACCATGGACCATCGTGGCCAAGTCTGGCTTCTCAAAAGGTATGGGCACAGCTGGCAAATAAGTTTTAATTGTGCAAAAGCTCCCCTGGGGTTCCGGGCTCAGCGATGAATCTAGGAGAACTCCCAATCTGCAAACCTGTGCCTTCAGGGAGAGTGTAATCCCATCCAACAGGCTGTAACCCTATACCCTGTACGGCCTTGTCACTGACCAGGAATACCTCTGTTTTGTCTAGATTCATTTTCAGTTTGTCCGTCCTCATCTAGACTATCACAGCTGCCAAGCACCAGTTCAGGACCTGAACAGCCTCCTTAGCAGCAGGTGGAAAGGAGTGATAGAGTTGAACATCATCTGCATACAGATGGCATTGAACTCCAAAACTCCAGATGATCTCCCCCAGCGGCTTCATGTAGATGTTAAACTACAGTACTGAGGGGGACAATAGTAAGCCCTGCGGGACCCCTCAAGTCAATGGTTGCAGGACCAAGCAGGTGTCCCTAGCAACACCTTCTGAGAGCGACCCTCTAGGATGGACTGGAGCCACTACAAAACACTGGAGCCACTATAGCCACTCCCGCAAGGCGTCTCGGAAGTATACCGTGGTCTATGGTATCGAAGGCCGCTGAGGGGTCTAAGAGAACCAACAGATTAACACTCCCCCTTTCAAGTTCCCTATGCAGAACATCCACTAAGGAGACCAAAGCTGTTTCAGTTCCATGTCCTGGCCTAAAGCCAGACTGTGATGCCCATCACACTTCCAAGACTTTGCCCAAAAAGGGAAGATTGGAAACTGACCAAAAGTTGTTCAATTGAGTGGGGTCCAATGATTTTTTTTTCAACAGCAGTTTTATGACAGCCTCCTTTAGGCCTGCTGGAATCTTGGCTTCTCGTTAGGAGGCCTTAACCACCACATTTACCCACTCTGCCAAACCCCTTCTAGCTTCCTTTATCAGCCAGGATGGGCAGGGGTCCAGGACACATGAGGTCGCCCTCACCTCTCCAAGGCTCTTGGTCCAGTGGTTTCTGAGTTCTGTTAATCCCACAAACGAACATTATATTTTTATTTATATAGACTAGCTGTACCCGCCACGCATTGCTGTTGCCAACCTTTCCTCCCTCTTTCTCTCCTTCCTCTGCTCCCTCTTTCCTTCCTTCTCTTTTCTTCTTCCTTCCCTCTCTACCTCTTTCCTTCCTTCCCCCCTTTTATTTTCCTTCCTCTTTCTCTCATTTCTTCCTTCTCTGCCTCTTTCCTTCCTTCCTTCGCTCTTTGCATCCATCTCTCTTTCCTTCCTTCCTTCTTTTTAAAAATCCAGTTACATTACAAATCTCTTTCTCCCCTTTCTTCCCTCCCTTTTTCTGTATCTTCATTTAGCTTTTTTGTGTTTTTTAGTCTTTTCCACTTTTGGGGGGGGGTGTTATGAGTGATGGTCACTGTCTTTTGGTCCCTGTCTATAGTGTTCAAATTTCATGTCAATTCGTTCAGTCGTTTTTGAGTTACTTTAATCCACAAACAAACATTACATTTTTATTTATGTAGATAAAATCTTAATAAAAGATATTTTTAATTTTTTTAACACATACTATTTATTAAAACATTGTCAGAGGAGTTTCTTCCCTTTTGAGAAAAGAATTTCCTCCCAGCTGTGAAAGCCACGTGTTTCCCAGGCTCTGCTCTTCCAGTGTTTTGGACTTCAGTTCCCAGAATTCCTGCTCCTTGTCGAAGAAAGCAGAGGCTTCTGGGAGTTGAAGTCCAAAAGCCTGGAGGACCAACGGCTGCTTGAAGGCAAACCGTCGAGGTCTCGAACTACAGGTGTCTGGCTAGAGAGGACTTCCTGCCCTGTTGTGGTTTGCAGGCATGTGGAGTAGCGTGTCCTCCTCTTCCTGGTTGGGCTTCTTGGGGAACTCCTGCCTTTGGCTTTTCTTTCTTGGAGGTTTTTAGAGGGAAAGGAGAGAGATCTGAGCCAGAGTTCTTGGATTGAGATGGAAGAAACTGGAAGGAGAAAGGTGAGTGAAGACAGAGGAAGGGAAAGAGAGGAAAGGGAAAGTGGGTCTGATGGGAAATGTTGCCACTCCTCCTTTGGGAGCAGGATGAGGAAGAACAGGGGGGTTGCAACTGCATTGCTAGAGGATGCCTCTCCACTGGAGAAAGAGTGGAGTTCACACCCCTGGCACTGCCCTGGCTCAGTCATGGGGGATCCTGGGAATTGCAGTTTTCCAAGGTCTTTTCCTCCCCAAACTACATTCTATAGCAGGCAGGAACAAACTTAGACCCTCCAGGTATTTTGGACTTCAACTACCATAACTCTTTTAACAGCCTGCTAGCTGTTAGGAATTGTGGAGGTTGAAATCCAAAACTCCTGGAGGGCTGAAGTTTGCCCATGCCTGTTCTGTAGCATTTTATTTATTTATTTATTTATCAATTTTATATACTGCCACTCTCCGAAGGCTCGGGGCGGTTTACAATATACACATGTAATACATTACATTGAGCCCTGGCAGTTAAAACTGCATTTATTCGCCACTGTGGATGCACCCTCGATTATTGTGATCAACTTTTTAAAGACGATAGCTGCTTTGGGTCCCAACCATGGGAAGAAAGAAGGGTAATAAATGGATTCCTATGCACACTACACATCTAAACAGTTGAGGAGGAGCAGAGAAGTTGTTGCTGAAGGAGGGAAAGTGGGAGGCACAGATGAGGAAGGGTCACCCTGAGGCCATCCAGTCCAGACCCTTCTCTCACTTTAGAGCAGTGTTTCTCAACCTGGGGGTCGGGACTTTTCTGATGGTCATGGGGATTCCATGTGGGAAGTTTGAGCCAATTCTATGTTGGTGGAGTTCAGAATGTTCTTTGATTGTAATGAACTATAAATCCCAGCAACTACAACTCCCAAATGTCAAGATCTATTTTCCCCAGACTCCACCAGTGTTCACATTGGGCATATTGAGTATTCGTGCCAAGTTTGGTCCAGATCCACCATTGCATGAGTCCACAGTGCTCTCTGGATATAGGTGAACTACAACTCCCAAACTCAAGGTCAATGCCCACCAAACCCTTCAAGTGTTTTCCATTGGTCATGGGAGTTCTGGGTGGCAAATTAGGTTCAAATCCATTGCTGATGGAGTTCAGAATGCTCTTTGATTATAGGTGAACTATAAATCCCAGCAACTACAACTCCCAAATTACAAAATCAATCCTCCCCTAACCCCACATTTGGGTGTATTGGGTATTTGTGCCCAGTTTGGTCCAGTGAATGAAAATGCATCCTGCATATCAGATATTTACATTATGATATTATAACAGTATTAAAATGACTGATATGAAGTAGCTATGAAAACAATATTATGGTTGGGGGTCACCACAACATGAGGGACTGTATTAAGGGGTCACAGCATTAGGAAGGTTGAGAAACACTGCTTTAGAGCCAAGTTCTGCTGGAGGAGCTAAAGAGTCTTAGAGGGTTTTTCCCAGAAAGTCAGTGCTTGCAAACACAGAGAGTACCCTTGAAATCTTGGACACAGGGCTGGGAATAATAATAATAATAATAATAATAATAATAATAATAATAATAATAATAAGACAATTATACTGGGAAAAGTGGAAGGTAAAAGGAAGAGGGGCCGACCAAGGGCAAGATGGATGGATGGCATCCTTGAAGTGACTGGACTGACCTTGAAGGAGCTGGTGGTGGTGATGTCCGACAGGGAGCTCTGGCGTGGGCTGGTCCATGAGGTCACGAAGATGTGTAGTGTGCATAGGAATCCATTCCATGACCAATGGAAAAACAGTTTTGAAAACTGTTTTAAATCTACCTCCTGTCTTAAGCATTGTAACTGAACAAACTGTCATTTTTACTGTTGTTACTTTTATTTTTGTCTGTGGTCATCAAAGAAACTCCATCTTCCAAGCAGAGTTCTCCATCCACCATCATAACAGCTTCCCTGCCAACTGATTTCTGGTGAAATATCAATAATTTTGGAAGTCTTCTCACACAGACTGAGGGTTCCCTCACTAAAGCAAACTAACACTGACAGGCTTTGGCCTACTCACTCTCCTCAGGGCAATGCTAGCTTTGGCCCACTAACTCTAACAGTGCTTTTTACCTTTTCATGGTTACTTATTCAATGTCCAGTTCCATCTTTGCTTTCATAACACTTCTTCTTTAAAATGTGGATATTGTGCAATATTCTTCTTTTTCTTGCAGTTTTCCAGGTAGAAAGCTCCATGCAGATGTTTAGATTGCTGCAGTAGAGTCTAGCATTTCCCACCGTTTCAGGCTACTATCCAAATATGAAAATGGAGGCCAGAGAAGACCTTACAAGTCATATACCAGGGCAGGTGCCACGGGAAGTGACAGGGAGCTGCCATGTTGGGATGACGGAGGTATTCCTGCCAAGGAGACCAGCAGAGGTGAAGCAGGAGCCGAACAAAGACTCGCTTCAGCAGTGGGAAACCCAATGGCAGGATTTCCTGAAGAGTGTGGAAGGCCCTCACCCAAACTGGGGGGCCTCTGAGTCGAGGGAAGAGCCGTGGGATGATGCCAAAGCCTTCCTGGCCTCCTTTGAGCAAGTGGCCCAAGCCTGCCGGTGGCCCAAGGAAGAGTGGGTGCCCCGGCTCCTGCCAGCATTGAGCGGAGAGGCCAAGCAGGCCTTCACCAGCCTGGAGGCCAAAAGCAGGGAGGATTATGGGAAAGTGAAGGCCACCATCTTGCACAGGGATGCCATGCGGCAGGAGGAGCTGCGACAGTGTTTCCGGCATTTCCGCTACCAGGAGGCCGAGGGGCCGAGAGGGGCTTACGGCCAGCTTCAGGAACTGTGTTGCCGGTGGCTGAAAGCTGAAAGGCATTCGAAGGAGCAGATCCTGGAGCTGCTGATCTTGGAGCAGTTCTTGGCCGTCCTGCCTCCAGAGATAGAGGCCTGGGTCAAGGAATGTGGTCCAGAGACTTGCTCCCAGGCGGTGGCCTTGGCCGAGGACTTCCTCCAGAAGCAGCGAGAGCAAGAGGCCAAGAGGCAGGCAAACCAGGTGAGGATCAGTCACTGGGTTCCAGGCTTCTCAAACGGCTGCTTTGTGCAAGGTGCCAACAGATCTTCTTCATTTATCAACAAGCCAGAATGGTAGTGTAGTTATGTCTGGAGTAAGTAAAATATAGCCTGTATGGGGCTATCTTTCAGCTTTCTTAGGTGTCCCATCATCCCCTCTGCCCCAGTAGTTAACTTTTGGTTTACTTTGTGGTTTTAAAAAGACATCTTTTTCACCTAAAACAGCTATGGAAGGAGGAAAACATGGCAAAACCGCTCCATAAATTTCCATAAGAAGATAAGGGATACTGAGTTTTTAATTTAAGAAAAAGTTGAAATACAGTGGGGGTGAGGAGTGCCCTGCAAAGAGCAACTGCAGTGCCCATCAAATGCCCAGGCAGGTGGTTTAATGTGGGATCGTACCTTGCAAGATCTGGGTTCAACTCCCTTTTGGACCATGAAACACATTTTGTGACCATGGGCTAGATATTTTCTCTGGTTGTGATTTGCCTCACAAATACTTTGAGGGCTGTGTAGAGCAGAGTAAAGCCATATGTGAGATATACGCTGGGTTAACAAGTGATACATATTTTAGGTGCCGCTAGAGGAAGAGGAGAGAGTGGGTTCCCCTGAAGCTGTCCAAGCCCTGCCTGAGATGGAGCAGAAGAAGCTTCGTGTGGGGACCAAAGAAGAAAATGACGACAGTGATGCTGGATCCTTGGGTAAGAAGAGTGGGTTGTTTGTGTCCTTGGATGTTAGGGGTGTTCTTCCTAGACTAACCACAGCACTGTGGCTGCTTCTTCCCTGAGTAAGGCCTTCCCATCGCACTTTGGGTAGTCTTAAACTCAAGGGTCTGCCAGGTACTTGGGCATCCCAGCTTTTCCAGGGGGGATTGACAGTTGTAGTAACTGGAAGGCCATAGTTTCCCCTTTCCTGGGGTAAGTTAAGGGACTGCATGGGCAGAAAACTGGCCTGGAAATCCTTGTCAATCCTTCTCTGGATTATTATTTCCAGTTCTGACCATCTGAGTTCAAAAATGTCCAGAGGAAACATACCATACAATCACAGTGGGGGATCTGTTCTAGCAAATGCCTAGAGAGATAATTTTCCCTTAAGTGTAAGTAAGTGAAATCATAGATATGGATTCCTAACTGGGACAATCCTAACTTCGCCAGAGAAGACTGTCCAAAGACTTGGGAGCAACCACCATGTCTTGATCCCCTGATCTTTCCTGAGAAGCTTCCTGGTGTCATTGTGAGAATGGGTCTTAATTTTCCTCTGCTTTATTTCCAACAGGTGATGAATGGAAAAGTGAGAATGAGAGGCAATTGGGTGAGGATTCCTCAGAAAGGACAGAGTGTGAAGCACTGAAGGAGAATGTTTGGAGCCAAGTTGGGCCAGCGAGCCAAGATGAAAGCCACACGGAAGAGCTGGAAGCCAAATCCTTCCCATTTCTGGTGGGGGACTTCCACAAAATCTCAGTCCAGCAGGAAAGCGAGAAAGACAAAAAAGGAATTGCTTTCTCCAGTGTTCATTGGAGATTTCTCCCTGAGGATGAATCAAATTCAATGTTTGCAAAGAGCTTCAGTCAGAGTGGAGACCTGACTGAATGTGAAATGCTTTATGAAGGGACTAGTTCCAACATAGACCTGAATCAGAGTATTTCTGCAGATGAGAGACAGTGTATTAATTCATATCTTGGTAAGATGAAACATCCAAGGATTCAAAAAGGGGAGAAGCTGTATAAATGTTTGGAGTGTGGGAAATGCTTTGGTTGTAAGACCTACCTCTCGAGACACCAGAGGATCCACACCGGGGAGAAGCCGTTTCGGTGCTTGGAGTGTGGGAAATGCTTTAGTCATAGTGCCAATCTCAGTAAACACCAGATAATTCACACTGCTGAGAAGCCGTATCAGTGCTTGGAGTGTGGGAAATGCTTTGGTCAGAGATCCCATCTCAAGAAACACCAGATAATCCACACCGCGGAGAAGCCATATCAGTGCTTGGAGTGTGGGAAATGCTTTAGCCGGAGTGACTATCTCAAGTCACATCAGATAATCCACACTGGGGAGAAGCCGTATCAGTGCTTGGAATGTGGGAAATCCTTTGGAACGAGCGCCAGTCTCAAGAAACACCAGAGAATCCACACTGGGGAGAAGCCGTATCAGTGCTCGGAGTGTGGGAAATGCTTTGGTCGGAGTACCCATCTAAAGAAACACCAGAGAATCCACACTGGGGAGAAGCCGTATCAGTGCTTGGATTGTGGGAAATGCTTTGGTCAGTGGGCCCATCTCAAGAAACACCAGAGAATCCACACTGGGGAGAAGCCATATCAGTGCTTGGAATGTGGGAAATGCTTTGCTTGGAAGGCTCAACTCTTGGCACACCAAATCATCCACACTGGGGAGAAGCCGTATACCTGCTCCAAATGTGGCAAGTGTTTCCACAACCAGTCCAGCTTTATCAGACATAAAAGAATCCACACCAGAGAGAAACCGTACACCCGTTCAGATACGGGAAAGGCTTCATCCAAAGTAACAGCCTAACTTTACAACCGAGAACCCATGCCAAGAGAAAGAGCTGCGCAAAACCCAGCAATTCCTGGATGCTGGCATGGCTGTGTTGGTTGTTTCTCCCTACCCAACGAACAGGGTAATGGCATCTTTAAAATAAATACCCTGTATCAGGCGTCCTCTAAGTTTTTAAGCAGAGGGCTGGTTCACGGTTCCTCAGACTGTTGGGAGGCCGCAGTACAATTTGAAGCAATAATGAACCAATTCCTATGCACACAGCACATATCTTATTTGAATAGGATAGTATGACTTTATATTCATTGTACACTGTACAACAAAATTAAATGCTTTTCGCAGCACACATTTTATTTATTTATTTATTTACTGTATTTGTATACGGCCTTTCTCAGCCCATAGGTGACTCAAGGTGGTTAACAGAGCAAAATTCAATGCTTACAATGTCCCTTGTCTTAAGTCGCACCTCACAGGGAATCATAGTTTCCAAACCTTTGGTCATTTGGGTGGCTTTTCTCTGGACACTCTCTAGTTTTTCAGTCTCCTTTCTGAGTAGTGGTGTCCAGAACTAGACACAGTACTATTCCAGGTAAGGTCTGCCCAAAGCAGAAGGGAGTGGGACTATAATCCAGATAATCTGGATTTTATATGGCAGTGTAGAAGGGCCCAGAGTCAACCCACCTGTCATGCAGCCTTCCCCTTTTCCTGTCATCTTTCTCTTCACCAAGTGTATATAATTGTCTTTTCCAGTGAATCATATCATCTACATGATAGCCTTCGGCCTTCTCGGGATAGTTCACATTGGATTTGTTCTTGGGCTCAGGATCCAGGACCAAATCTGTATTGTCACTTTTTTCAAGACTCAGGCTTTAACATCTATACGGAGAAACTGGAGATCAACACCCCCCCCCCCCCCCCCCCGTTCCACTGCAAATGTTCGTTAGTGTAAATGCCTCCACCTGATTTAGTTCTCATAACAGGTTCTGCATCAGTCCCAGCCGTAACCATGCGTTGAGCAGGGATTCAGAACCAAGTCCCTCACGACATTCACTCCAAAGCTCTTACCGTAAGCCTTGGGTAGGAAGTGTGTAGTCTCCAAAATGTTAAATGCTACAGCATAGGGAGCCTCCAGCTGGGACAAATGGGTTGGCAGTGAATGTTTGAGCAGGATTTCTGAAGCGAGACCAGGGTTCGAATTTCCACTCAGCTGTGAGAATTTAAGTTGGTGATCTTGGGCAAGTCACATTCTCTCAACCTCTGTAGAAGGCAGGGCAACCCCTCTACTGAAGCAAATATTGCCACGAAAACCTACAATAGGTTCACTCTAGGACGGCCAAAAGTCAGAAACAATTTGGGGAAAAGCAACAATTCAGAAAATACAAATACCCTAAAGCACCAGATCCCATCTGACCTTGGAAGTTAAGGCACAGTTCAAAAGCATCTCTTCCTTTGCTCAGCCTTCCTTATGGTCCAGCTCTCACATCCGTAGGTGACTATGGGGAATACCATCGCTTTAACTATGCAGAACTTCATTGCCAATGTGATGTCTCTACTCTTCACTATTTTATCGAGATTGGTCATTTCTCCCAAGAAGTAAGCGTCTCCTGATTTCCTGGCTGCAGTCTGCGTCTGCAGTAATCTTTGCACCTAGAAATACAAAGTCTGTCACTGCCTCCATGTTTTGTCCTTCTATTTGCCAGTTATCAATCAGTCTGATTGCCATAAGCTTTGTTTTTTTTTTTGATGTTTAATCATTCTTTTTTCATTTCTTCTTTCACCTTGATTAGAAGGCTATCTTATCTATATAAAATCTTAATAAAGGTTATTCTAAAAAATGTTTTTATTAAGATTTTATATAGATAAGATTTTTTTTCTTCCCCACTGAGAAAAGTATTTCCTCCCAGCTGTGAAAGCCACGTGTTTCCCAGGCTCTGCTCTTCCACTATTTTGGACTTCAGTTCTCAGAATTCATGCTCCTTGTGCCAGGAAGTGGGGCTTCTGGGAGTTGAAGTCCAAAAGCCTGGAGGACCAATAGCTGCTTCAAGGCAAACCTTAGAGGTCTCGAACTACAGGTGGCTAGAGTGGACTTCCTGGAGTGTTTTGTTTTGGCCGGATGTGGGCTGTGTCGTCCTCTTCCTGGTTGGGCTTCTCCGCCAAAAGCAGCTTCTAGGGAAACTCGTTCCTTTTGCTTTTCTTCCTTGGTGGTTTTTGGTGGAAAAACAAAGATCTCAGCCGGAGTTTTTGGATTTAGATGGAAGAAACTGGAGAGATAAAGGTGAGTGAAGGCAGAGGGAGGAAGGAAAGGGAAATAATGGGAAATATTTCCCCTCCTCCTTTGGGAACAAGATGAGGAAGAGCAGAAGGGTTGCAACTGGAGTGTTCTGGGATTCATATCCACTGGAGAAGGAGTGCACTTCACACCCTTGACACTGCCCTGCTTCCATGCTGGGGGGATCCTGGGAATTGCAGTTTCCCAGGGTCCTTTCCCTTCTCTGCCAAAGAGTGGTGGTGCCTCCCCAAACTACTTCTGCCTTGATCCTATAACACTGAGCCTGGCACGTTCTGGTTACATTCTGTATAGACTACTGCAGCATGCTCTACGTGGGGTTCCCTTTGAAGACTGTCCGGAAGCTTCACCTTGAATATTGTGTTCAATTCTGGACACCACAATTGAAGAGAGATATTGACAAGTTGGAATATGTCCAGAGGAGGGCGACTCAAATGATCAAGGGTCTGGAGAACAAGCCCTATGAGGAGCGGCTTAAGGAGCTGGGCATGTTTAGCCTGAAGAAGAGAAGGCTGAGAGGAGACATGATAGCCATGTATAAATGTGTCAGGGGAAGTCATAGGGAGGAGGGAGCAGGCTTGTTTTCTGCTTCCCTGGAGACTAGGACGCGGAACAATGGCGTCAAACTACAAAAAAGGAGATTCCACCTGAACATGAGGAAAAACTTCCTGACTGAGAGCCGTTCAGCAGTGGAACTCTCTGCCCCGGAGTGTGGTGGAGGCTCCTTCTTTGGAAGCTTTGAAACAGAGGCTGGGTGGCCATCTGTCAGGGGTGCTTTGAATGCAATTTTCCTGCTTCTTGGCAGGGGGTTGGACTGGATGGCCCATGAGGTCTCTTCCAACTCTATGATTCTATGATTCAAATGGTCCACTGAATGGCAGCCAGATTGCTAACAGGAGGGGCGCTCAGGGAGCATACAACTCCTCTGTTGCGCCAGCTCCATTGGCTGCCAGTTTGCTACAGGGCACAATTCAAAGTGTTGGCTTTAGCTTATAAAGCCCTAAATGGTTCTGGCCCAGCTTACATGTCCGAACACATCTTCTCTTACGATCCATCTAGGACCTTAAGATCGTCTGGGGAGTCCCTGCTCTCGTTTGTCACAAGTACATTTGGTGGAGACGAGAGACAGGGCCTTCCTGGTGGTGGCCCCTCGGCTGTGGAACGCCCTCCCTATAGATATTAGATCGGCCACCTCCCTTTTAACCTGAAAAAAGTCAAATGTGGCTTTTTGAAGAAGCATTTACAAATGCAGAGTAACTGACATAGGAAAATTGAACGACTAGACAATGAGTCCAGACAACTTTTTAACAAGGAGACACTATGAATTTATATTTTGTTGATTTGTTTAGTTTTTATTATATGTTGTGTTTTAATTGTATTTATGACATTGTAAGCATTGAATTTTGCCCTGCTAACCGTCTTGAGTCGCCTACGGGCTGAGAAAGGTGGTATATAAATATAGTTAGTTAATTAATTAATTAATTAAAAGAGGCACCAGACTGCATTCATTCTACAGTGTAGATCAGGCATGGGCAAATTTTCTAACTTGGGGACCATATGGTGGACTGGAGTCAGGTGGGCATGCCTGGAGGGAAGGGGTTCTTCCCAAGCCTCCTCCCTCCCCTGTCCTCCCCTTCCTCTTCTCTTTCAGAAGCAGAAAATGAAGGAAAGATGGGAAACCTTTGGATCCCCAAAGGATTGGCCTTGGTCAGGATGAGATGGTGGACAGGAGAGGAAAAGTGCATCCATTAGACCCTGTGTTGCCTACTCCTGATATAGAATCCTAGAGTTGGAAGAGACCCCCAAGGGCCATCCAGTCCAACCCCCTGCCATGCAAAGGCACAATCAAAGCACTCCTGATAGACAGCCTCTGTGGAAAAGCCTCCAGAGAAGGAGACTCCACCACACTCTGAGGCAGTCAATGCCACTCTCCAACAGCTCTTACTCTCAGGAAGTTTTTCCTAATCTTTTCAGTCATATGTCTTTCCCTGCCATTTGAAACCATTGCTCCCTTGTGCCCTGGTCTCTTGAGCAGCAGAAAGTCAGTTTTCCCTCTTCTCTTCAATGGGACACCCTTTGAAATCATGAAACATGGTTCTCATGTTCCCTCTCTACCTTCTCCCAGCTAAACATCACCAGGAAGGAAAAAGAGAAGGAAATAAGGAAGAAAGGGATGAAGGGGATGAAGGAAGGGAGGAAAGAGAGAAGGAAGGAAAGACAAAAAGGGAAGGAAGGAAGGGAAAAGAGATAGGGAAGGAGGGAGGAAAGGTGGAAGGAAGAAGGGAGGGAGAAAGGAGGTATAGGAGGAAGGGAAGAAGGAAAGAGAAAAGGAAGAAAGAGGAGGATAGGATAGTGAGAGAGGAGGACCTGAGAAAAGAGCCCAAGGGGTCGCATCTGGTCCCCAGCCTTGAGTTTGCCCATACCTGGTATAAATGCACCGTGTTATTGTGACCAGTTTGATTTCATTTTAAAATGTACTTTCTGCATGTTTTAGTTGTTTTGGTTTTTAAAGTTGTGCGCTGCTTTGGGTCCTAATTATGGGAGGAAAAGGGGGATAATAAATGAATTCCTATGCAGAGGGCTCATGTCTTCTTTATAGCACAAAGATACCATGAAATAACATTAAAATATTTCAGTTTTAACTAACATAAACGGATCAGCATTTAAATGGGAAGTGTGGGCCTGCTTTTGCCTGGTGGGATAGTCAAGTTTATTAGGGTTGTTGTTGTTGTTTACCGTCAAGTCATTTGAGACCTAGGGTGACCTGAGACTCAAGTTTAGGATGGGGGCCGAGTAAAGGGCCTTGGAGGGGCGCAACCAGCCTCCAGGCCTTAGTTTGATGATCTCTTGACTTGGACTGTTTTTTCCATTTCATTCAATGGCCAGTTCCATTCCAGCCCTACAGCTTTGCTTTCATAACTCTTCCTCTTTAAAATCTGAATGTTGTGTAATAGTCTTCTTTTTTCCTTCCAGTTTTCTAGGCAGTAAACTCCATGCTGATGTTTAGGCTGCTTCTGTAGAGTCTTGCATATCCCACCATTTCAGTCTAGTATTGTC